CTTTATAGTACCTATGTGTTTACATGATTGTTCTAGCTGTGAATACTGTTTGTTCTCTTATGTTAGCTTTTCTTGGAAGGAAAAATTACAGTGAAAAGGATTGCTTGGAGATACCTTGGGAATACTTTAACTTCCATCTGCCTCATATTCCATAACAAAACATGTACAATCCCATGTTCTGAAGATTGGTATTAATAATTCAGAAGCATCATCTATGAGAATTGTTGTAACAGTTCTTGTTACATACTGAAATAAACAGAATATCCATAAAGTAAAGAGAAATGAGTAAGGGAACATTTGAAAATTCTGTTTCTCAAAATGCCTTTATAAAATGCCTTTAGATAGAAAATAGGTTGAGATCTACAATCAAAGTGGCTAGCTCTTCTGTGTTACATAAGGCTTTGGTATTCTGCCATATAATAAATTTCTTGAAGTAAATAAAATCATTAAACCTATAGGATACATTTTAAAAGGCACAATGAACACAACACCCAAGCCTGTAGCGGGGGGGGGGGGGGCTGTTTATGGGATCAACCCCCCTCCCCTGAAATCTTTCCACCTGACTCCAGAAGATGCCTATTAAAGCTACTGAATGTTTTTGAGTTAATGGAAARAAGAAAAAGCCAMATATTGAAGATGAAGAATGCATTAGGGTGAAGAACCATTGCAGATGAAGACCCCAGAACATGCACACCTGAATTACAGGTGAAATCCGAGGAAACTGTGGAAACTGAGGTTTGTATTGACAGGTTCATCTAATCCAAGCCCTGCCAAAGAAACCATGGAACAAGAGCAAAGACAAGAAGCTATGTCATTGTTAGGCCTTGGACTTTATTTGAACAAGACTATTTCTGATCACCAAGTGAAAGCTCAATTAGTGCAAAATCCATGAACTCCATTGCCAGCATATGTATTTCCTGTGGATAAGAAGAGGCATCTCAGTGTTTAACTCAAATGGGTCAACAGATTTTCCTGGTTAGTCTAGGCAGCTGCACAGCCCTAGCTAATTTGAAAGAGCAGCAAGAGTAGGCCCAAGTTTAATCAGCATATTAATAGCATCCAACCCCCAAAGTCCTAATGCCATTACAGTTCCATATAGATCTTAAATCTCAACAATAGGGACCATGGATTCATGGAAACAAGTGTTCCTAAACATACTCCAGTATGATCTGAAATTTACTTGGGACTGATTTCCCTCAGTTGGGCACTGGAGCCCAAACTCAGGGATCCCTGGACCACAGGAAAGTGCAACCAACACCCATGCATGGGACTTGTCTATCATCTTCCTAATTGGGATTTATTTATGCAAGAGTATTTCTTCACTTCTCTTCCATTTTAAAAATAACCTTGCTAACTATAGAGGTGTTAGTTTTATGTTTATATGATCAGAAAAGAGTTCCTCAAAGAAAATCTCCAGAGAAAAAGAGGTTGCATGCAAGCATCTGTATTTTGACAGGCTTAAAAAAAAGAATGAGTTGTACTGAGATACTGGGACATTACACTTTGGTGGTTTTAAGATGCTCTGCATGAGGTTTAAATGAGACACATCTATTCTAGTTGGCCCATTTCTAGAGCACTTGAAGTGGATAGTCGTGATGGCCTTGGTTATGAGGCAAAACAATTTGCACAGGGTGGGACATAAAGCTTCCATATTTCAAAGAGACACCGTGTAGGCTTTTTTTGTTGTTGTTGTGTCAGGAGAGACTTGAGAAACCGCAAGTCGCTTCTGGTGTGAGAGAATTGGCTGTCTGCAAGGACGGTGCCCAGGGGATGCCCGGATGATTATTTGATGTTTTTATCATCCTTGTGGGAGGCTTCTTTCATGTCACCGCATGAGGAGCTGGAGCTGGTAGAGGGAGCTCATCTGCCTCTCCCCGGATTCAAACCTGTGACCTGTCAGTCTTCAGTCCTGCCGGCACAGGGGTTTAACCCACTGCACCACCGGGGGCTCCGTGTGAGCAGTAGTGGGGGTAGAGAGGTGGGGAGGTCTAATTCGGTAGGTTAGACTCTGCCCTTTTCAGTACCCATCATGAGATGGACTGGTGAACATGAGGGCTTTGTTGTTCAAGGGTATTATGAGAACAACTATTCTGTGATAACAACATAGATACTGTACATACTTCATGCTCAGTCAAAATGCATCTGTATCAGATTAAAAATGATTTTGCTATGGATTTTTATTCTTTGGGCTACTGTATCCACACTGAAAAGAAAATCCCTGATATAATTTTTAAAACCCATTAAAACAAAACTGTACTTTTCTGTAATATATACAATTTTTTAAAAGATAGCTTTGTTCATTTTATATGCTCTCAAAATGTGGGATGACCCACCCTGTAATAAGAAAAGTGTCTGAAATGCTTGTCTTGGGAGTCTTCCACATTGCTCACTACATTGTGTGCTTGCTTGCCTCATAAATGTTGGAATGTAATGTTTTCTTCTTCTTTTGCCACTTAGTGGTCAGGATTTATTATCCACCCCTGCCCTCTTATACTCTTAAACTCATCTGCCTTTCCTGCCAACAGGGAAGAATTTTCCCCCCATTCATCATCATTTCCCAGTAACGGGTCTGAAATTTGTAGTTTCTGGCCTAGGAATACCAATATGATATTTGCTATTTTCATACAAAACAAAAAAGAAATCAAATAAAAGCAGGAAGTAAGCTGCTTTCCCCTGCAAATTTATTTACACATATACATATCACAGTATAGAGCCTTCTGAAATTTTTCAGGGAGATAAGGGTATCATTTTGGAAAAGTCTGTTTTTGCACTTTGCTGCTTGTAATTTTTAATCTGACTTTTACTTCCTCTTATTTAGGGACACAGCCTTGTAACTTTCATCAAATCAACAGATTGTTTTTAATGGTATGCACAATTTCATAAAGGAGGAGCCCATGCGGTCTACAGACTGAATCATATTCAAACAAAGGGGGAAATATTATAACTTTGTATTGAAACACAGAGGCAGAAATACGTGGATTTCCAAACTGGGATTTAGATTTACACCTGAGTCAAAAGAGGTGCCCTGTGATCTGACCCAAAGCAGTGCAAACCCTCTAATTAGAGCAAACTGTACCCACATGCATTTCTAGCCCATAAAGAAGAAATCTAATTTGGGGCTTCATGACACCTGCTGTTTTCAAAGAAATGATTATTTTTCATTTGGTTCTTAATTTATGTAGCTGTGTTCTTGGATACTGGTAAATATTTCATATTTAATCATACTATGTGAATTTTTTTGCCCAATAAATTATGAAAGGCATATTTCATCATAAATAAAACACCAGTCTAATGATCATTGCTCACGATTAACTGGATCCAAATGATTTCCCACACAATCTGAGAAAAATAAGGTTTTCATGCTTCTTTCTTTGACCATGTATTGTGCATTTTCATCATTAAAATAGCAAAAGAGCACACTAAAAAAAAGAAAATATAATCCACCAGACAATTATTCTGATTATTGTTTTATGAGCAAGGCCCATTAAGGTAACAGAACTGATTATATTTTGTCCACAGAAAAACTGCCAGCACTAAATATTAAAGAGAGGTCTTCTGCCAAGTAAGCATTTGCAGAAAATCAGTGGAATGATGTTCCTGCCAAAACTTCTGCAGCACATTCCTTTTTTCCTACTGGAAGCTGCCTGAGAAAATTAATATCTGTATGCAATGTACAATTTGCATATTATAGCTCATGTTTATCTACTTATTTGTCTGATGTATCCCAGCTTTCAATCTTGAAGGAGTCCCATTCAGCTTATATAAAACAGTTGTTTTGCTGTTATGGTGACCCTATGAGTGAAAGACTTCAAAGAGCTCAAGTCAGGCTTATTTCTTATTTCATTTTGGGTTGTATCATCACACAGTTTTCAAGCTAAAAGGCATTCAGGGATGCTTTGCTATTGCCTTCTTCTGTGCAGTACTAGCTCCTTTATGGGTAGCTAGGGTATCAATGTCATAGTCTCTGAGAGATCTTCCACCTGGGTTACCCAATACGGCTGCTGTGCAGTAGCCGTTTCTCTCATTTAGTCTGGATCCTCAACAAAAGCCTATCTCATTATGGTAATCGTACTAGCAGAAGTGCTACTATCAACATACATATTTACATCATTGGAGCATGCAACCCCAATACCACAGAAAAGTGTGCCAAGATGAGATATAAAACAGAAAACTAAATTAACCCTGGCCCTAGTTTAGGCTATTGGTTGTTTTGATGGTTTGATCGTTGATGAATTTTACAGTGTTATGTTTTAATTTCTGCTTTTCCAGGCTTGGTCCTATCTAAACCACCCTAAGTCCCTTCGGGGAAATGGTGGAGAGACACAAAAATATTATTATTATTATTATTATTATTATTATTATTATTATTATTATTATTAGACTGTTTCTGACCTCTTTGGCATACAGCATGCCCTGCCTTCCATCTTGGAATATAGGCTTTTTCTACTCCTTAATGGCAGAGAGAAAGAACTCATCTGTAGCAAGTGCTGCTGGACCTTCTGTTTCCTAGCTATTTGGTCCTTCTCCCAATGTCGTGTTTCATGGCTGTCTAGTCCTTCTCCTAACCCTCCAAGCCTGTGGATTTTATTGCTTCCTTCTTTTTCAAGCAAAGCCACACACTGAAAATATTGAAAATGTGTGGTGCTTCATGCAAAGTTCCACAAATTATATGAATTGTTATAGCTCGAGAGTATTTACTGGTAAGCTGATTAATTAATCCCACCCTAAAAGCAAATAAATTGTTCAAGATGAAAAGTACTATTATATGGCCAGTTTTCTCATATTTATACAACTTCGGTTTAGCTACAAAAGAAAGAAAGAAAGTATTACAACTTTGCTCACCTTGAGGAGTAATGGCTTAAGGATGGTCCTGGTTCTTCCAAAGTGCCATGGGATATGAACAGAAAATGACGATGTCACAACTACTTACCCTCATGGTTAAAAAAACACCACCAATTAACACAACACCACCAACAACACAGGACTAATGGTTTACTTACATTGAGTAAGGATTCCTGTTAAGGCATTTTTAAAATTTTCCTTGGCTTGCTCCATTTCTTGTTCATGAGTTGCTTTTTCGTTCATGAGTCGCCGGACGTGGCTATTAGCTGACTGCACCATTGAATAGAACTGGTTGGCAGTACGGCGGTTAACCTCCCCTCGCTCTATCCAGGTGAGCAATACTGTTATGGCCTCTGAAAACTTGCCGTCATCTAGAATAATCAATTCAAACATTTAATTGATGGTCACATGCTTCTTATTCAGAATACACTTCTGCCCTTATGAATTAATAATCTCATAAAGAATGTTTACGATATATCTTATACTAGAGCTCACTTTACACCCTAACATAAAACTTTATAAATTGCTCTCCAAAGCCCTGATTATCCTGAATCTAGTAAAATGTTGTGGCTTGAAATTTCATTCACTCTTTACACTGTTCCAGCAAGATGAAGCAGCTTCATTCTGGGAATAATTAAATGTTAAGTGTTATTACGTATGTGTGTTCCCCCTCCCACCCCGAGACTAAGATAAAAACCATTAATACACTCTCTATAGAGATTTTCATGAGTGTTTTATAAACATTCATGCATCTATAGTGTTTCCAGATTGGTGGCTTTTGGCACTATCTCATCAATTTTTCAACACGCAAAACAGGAATTTACTTTCTACACTTTGCTTGGGGTGGGGCAGTGGTTCTCAACCTGTAGGTCCCCAGGTATTTTGGCCTATAACTCCCAGAAAGCCCATCCAGTTTACCAGCTGTTAGGATTTCTGGGAGTTGAAGGCCAAAATATCTGGGGACCCACAGGCTGAGAACCACTGGGGCGGGGGATATCACTTTTTCTTTGTTTGCTTATCTCTTGCATTCAGTGGTGGGAAAATGCATTAAATATTATGAATAAGAAGAGCAGTGCTAGGATGACCTACATGAGCAATGGATGTGCTAGTAATCTAAAATAGTTACATTTCCTTCAATGTAAAGAAATACTCAAGAATCCCAAGGAAAACAATACATTCATGGCACCACCATGTAAATTTCATAGAGTCAACACCTCATATTTCAGAGTCAACCCCACATGGAAGAAAGCCAGATGTGGGTTTATAGATGGGACCTCAAACAATCCAGTGTGAAGTCCTTCTGAACTGGAACCACTATAGGGAATAGAAGTTGTGTGAGAGCATTGTGGGTTTAAAGGAACCTTCCCTATTGCAGTCTGTTGCAGACCATTGATCTATTTGGGGTCGGGACTCACAGTTTAAGAAGCAGTGCTCTAGAGGGAAATTATTCACGGTAAAAATAGGCAACTAACTTCATGTCCTTTCTATGGGTTATTTTTAAAAAATCTAATTTCATATTCACTCCTTGCTTTGGAAAGAGATGGGTTGACTGCCCAATTCATTTTCATTGTTGCACCTGAAATTTACCTTGATCCCTGACAGTAAATTCAATTTCTGTCTATGAAAGCAAATAATAGAACCCTGTTTTAAAATCAGGGCTTGTCTTTTTCCCCTTTTGAAGACAAGCAGACACTGTTAAAAATATTTTCTCAACCAAATGACAATAAAAGCATAATGCCTTGTTGCTTAGACAGATGTACTAGCTAGGTTTCTTTGCATAATTGCTCTTTCAAAATCCACCATAAGCGTGAGTACTTTTTTGCTCTAAGAAGTCATTCTTCCTCAACTTTAAAGCATGTTTTAGAGAAATTATTGCTGTGATGACAGCTCGTCAATTACTCAAACATACACATACTTATGGGAAGCTGCACTTATGTCTTGTAAAGCAGGACTTGTCTTGAAAGCTCTGATGTATATCTTTGAATACCATTAGTTTATCAATGTCAGCCAGCTGGGTGTCCATTGTAAATTATCCTTGCCAGTTTTTGATCCTCGGGGTTTCAAATTTGCAGACAGAAACTCTCAATTTACAAGGATCCAAAACAAAATCAAAGAGGATATCAGGCTTGCTCACAATTGATATATCCTCCATGTGTGTGTCTTGGGAGTGTGTTCATAGGGAGGGGAGAGCTACTCCTGAGGATCATTCACATCAAAGTCAGTGTTTGTGAGAGCTAGTGCCTCTGCACGGAGGCTATAAGCTTGGGCACCACATGCGCAATGGTTCCATTTCAGAGGGTATACACGGGCAACCATATAAATCAATGTAACCTCCCTCCCTCCCCATTTCTATATTTAAAAAATAAATAAATTCTAAAAACAATTAAAAAATCCAGCTTTAAAAAAATTAAAACTGCAATTTCAAACACTGAAGAGAGAATAGCACCATGTTGGTTGCCCGCTAGAAGTTTAAAAAAAGATGGGGCCAATCTGTATTGTTGAAGGCTTTTGTGGCCAGAATCACTGGGGTGTTGTGTGGTTTCTGGACTGTGTGGCTGTGGTCCTAGCAGCATTTTCTCCTCGTGTTTCACCTGCTTCTGTGGCTTCAGAGGATCTGATGATGGTAGAAGCAAGTGGTGTATATGTATCTGTGAAATGTCCAGAGTGGGAGAAAGAGTGGGAGAAAGAACCAATGTCTATTAATCAAGCATATAGGGTGCAATTAGCAAGCCTGATTTGCAAGTGTTTGAAAGGGATCCATCAATTAGAATATGAGTAACTGTGAAGATTGCATAACAAATAGTGAGAGCATCGACCTGGAAGGAGCTAGGCCTTTATTCCCTTGGAGTTATTATTGCCTGGACGCATCCTTCGTGGTGTTCACTGGCCCTTAATTGCTTGCTCCCTGGGGGCTTCCTGTGTCTGGGCGGTGTTCATTATTTACTATCTTGATTCTGGTGTTTCTCAATACTGGTAGCAAGGCTTTGTTCATTTTCATGGTTTCTTCTTTTCTGTTGAATTTTTTCACGTGCTTGTGGATTTCAATGGCTTTTCTGTGTAGTCTGACAAAGTGGTTGCCAGAGTGGTCCAGAATTTCAAACACAGGATCTCAAACACAACATTGAGGATCTCAACGAAGGCATGGCTTTTGACACCATGAACATAGATCTACCACCTTCAAAGAAGAGGACAGAGAGGACAGAGCTAAAGCCAGATTTCTTTGATTCTGTATCAATCATGGACAAGTCTGTTCTTGGAGTTTCAATGTTTGAGCTCCAGTCCAGCATATCACAACTCCATGGTGAAGTTGTTTTGGAAGAAGAGATTTTAAAAAATAAAATCCAGCTTTGTTTATCATGTGTTCTTCTATTGCTGATTTTTCTGGCTGAATTAATCTGTAGTGCATTTCATATTCTTTGATTCGTGTATGGGCACTGCGTTTGGTGGTCCCGATGTAGACACGGTATGCGGTAGACTCTTGCAGTGGTGAGGGGATCCCTCTTATCCTTTGCCAACCACAGCATTTGTTGGATTTTCTTAGTGAGTCTACAGATAGTTTGTAGGTTATGTTTCTTCATCAGCTTCCCTACACAGTCAATGGTTCTCTTGATATATGGTAAGAACACCCTCCCTCTAGGTGGCTCTTTATCTTTATTCCTGAAGCTTATTCTAGGTCTTGCAGCTCTCCTGATATTTTAAGAAGAGTAACCATTAGCCTGCAGAGGCCAACTTAGGTGACACAAAAAAATAGTGAGTTGTTACAGCTGTCCAAAAGAGCCAGAACAGCTAGAGATCTGTGCACAGCCCTATTGTTTAGTTCTTCTTTTCCATGGCTCCAAATGATGAATGTATCATTCACATAATGTGACTGTATAGCTGATGCTGGATTATAAATCTCAGTATCCGTAGCAATTTCAGACAAGAGTGAATAATGCTGATAGCTGCAATTCAACAATATCTAGCTTATTTTCCACCTGTTATACACAGGAACAAGCTGATACATAAACACTGATTCCCATTTACTTATTTTATCGAATTATATACTGTATTTCACTCAAATAACTCAAACTAATGTGCTGTTATTCCCCTCATTGTTTTATTTTCACAACAAACTTACAAGGAAGACTAGAATGAGAGTACATCATTGGTCAATGAACTTCATGGCTGCGTGTGGATTTGTACTTGACTCTCTCCAGTTGTAGTATAATGCTCTCAAGTGCTATTCAATACTGTTTAACTACCTTCCTGTATCCCCACTTCATATTCCAGATGAGCATAATATCTGTACCATTCTACATGCCTTAGTCTTTAACATGAATGGTACACTATAACTTTAACATGAAAGGCACTGTAACTTTTTAAATGAAGAGTCTTGCCCTCGCATTATGACATAACAAATTAAAGTCTAAGTTCAAATTCAAGTACAAGTTCGTGCACAATTTCAAGTTTATGTCTAAATTCTTAAATTTGGTTGGCAAATCACACAGAAATTGATTGGTAACATATAATAAAAGTTGCCCATAGTTAACCCACACTGTGGTGTTGTCTCGTGATTTCATGAGTGGGAGAGCAATAAAAGTGCACTGAATATTTCCTTTGTATAGTAAATCTAACCACCTCTTGTGTTTGAAAGGCCAGATATATAATCACCAAATTGGCTATCGAGTTTTAGTTGTTTGTCTATTTTCATATGCTTTGGGTGTACACACACACACAGCATATTTAGTGTAATGCTTGTTTCTTGCTTTATTTTTGAAAACTAACTCCAGAATGGGAATGGGAATTGGTCTCTTCACATTACAAGGAGCCAAGTGATTTAGCACCATGTACTTCTGCTACAAAAAGTGAAAACAGATTGATCTCAACCAGTAAGACTAAATTTTGAGGTTCCACAGCAAATTCATAAAAAAAACAACCCAGGTTTTCATAGCGCCAGTAAGCTTGTTCTTCTGGCTTGAATTTGGCCTTGTATGAACATCAGACCTCCAGCAAAGGATCACCGCCTTGTCGGGGCGCTGGAGCTTGAGCACCTCAATGATGTCATGAGCGAAACCGTGAAGGGACACCCAAGACGGGACGGTTGTGGCAGAGAGGTCAGACCAAGCGTGATCCCTGGGGAAGGCAATGGCAAACCACCCCAGTATCCTTGCCAAGAAAACTAAATGGACCAGTACAACCAGAGATATGTCGGTATGCCATTGGAAGATGGGACTCCCAGGTCGGAAGATGGCCAAAATGCTACTGGTGAGGAGCAGAGGATAAGTTCAACTAGCCCCAGATGTGATGACGCAGCTAGCTCAAAGCCGAAAGGAAGGCTAGCGGCCGACGGTACTGGAGGTGAACGACGAATCCGATGCTCTAAAGATCAACA